TTAATTCGCATTGTCTAAGCTAATCCAAATTTATTTTAAAACGATTAATTTTTGCTTTTATGGAAATCATTTTACATCGCATTGTTTAAGCTAATCCTACATTTAAAGAAGTTGTTTAATTCACATTGTTTAAGCTAATACAAATTTATTTTAAAATGATCTAATTTTTTCTTTTATGGAAATCACATTGTTTAAACTAATCCTAATTTATTTTAATGCTATCGGGAGTTATTAAGATCAGTTATAGAGCATGACGGCAATATGCCAAATATATTTAATATAATAAATTTGATATAATTTAATAAAGAAAAAATATTTCACCTTAAATAATGAATGTAAAATAATAAACTGATTATATTAGATAAATCATATACATTTAGAAATAATCAAAGTAAATAAATTTTAATATCGTCTTGCTGCATTGCGAGTTAATTCGATTACATTAGAATTAATTCAAAAAAGATTTAAATAAACCCCACCTTAGCCTTCTTCATCTTCGTAATTTTCCATTCAATCTCATATTCACTACTTTTATCTTACTTACTACTCTTTAATTTTTTCGTTAAATCCAAAACTATCTGCCTTTTACCTAATTTCAATTTTTCACACTTTCACCTATCTATAAACATTCATCTCAATTTTATATAATTCTCTTTATCTCCCTTATATTATTTTTTATTTTGCTTTATTTCGAATTTATTTTATTTAATTTTTATTTTTTTATTTTATTTTTTATTTTATATCCTTTATTATTTTTATATATTATATACAAAATATCAGCTGATAGAAGAGGCAAATTAGCACAAGCAGAGAGCGAGAATTTTTAGCAATAACAGCTTATGAAACAGTAATTCAAACTGGTACTAAGCAGGTTGCTGCGCAACCTCGTGAATTATTTGGCTCTACTTCTACAAGTATTCAACATACTTCTGATAGTTAAATTTATTATTTAATTTAGTTTATTTCATTAATTTCTATTTATAATATTTTTAATTTAATTTATTATCTAAAATAA